TGTTCCACTTTTTCTAGGTGCTATCTGATACTGAAGTCTTCCATCAAAGATCTTTCTGGATCTTTCTGGGTGTGGTAACAGTTTTGAGGTTTGGAAACCTTTATGGGGTTCAAAATCATGCTTTGTATTATGCCCTTCTGGTGCTTTAAAAGCCAAGATCTTCATTTGTTTCATTTACAAGAAATAGAGAATCACTTCCTCTTTCTGAAATTCTCTGATCACTTGACTTCTATAGCATTGCAATGTTTTCATTATCCATGTATTTCTTTTGGTTTTTTTTTTTTTGGATTTTAAGTGACTTTATTTTTTTTTAATTTATTTTCAGCATAACAGTATTCATTGTTTTTGTACCACACCCAGTGCTCCATGCAGTCCGTGCCCTCTCTAATACCCACCACCTGGTTCCCTCAACCTCCCACCCCCCCACCTCTTCAAACCCTTCAGATTGTTTTTCAGAGTCCATAGTCTCTCATTGTTCACCTCCCCTTCCAATTTCCCCCAACTGCCTTCTCCTAACTCCCCACTTTTGTAGCTACATGGACGGGACTGGAAGAGATTATGCTGAGTGAAATAAGTCAAGCAGAGAGAGTCAATTATTCATGTATTTCTTTAAATGTTCCTTGTTTCCTTTCTTCTCTTTCTTCTGCTTCTCATCCTCCTTCTCCATCTTAGTCTACTTCCCTTCCTCTAGTCACCCTTTAAACCTTCGTGTCACAGGGGTCCATTTTGGACCTTTACTCTTCCTACCTGTATTCACTTTATGGGTGACCTCAGGCACTGTCATGATTTCAACAAATACCTCTTGCTGAAAGTCTCAAATCTATATATCTCTAGCCAACAGCATTCCTGTGATCTCAGATAATCTATTTAATTCTTAAATAAACATCTCTGCCCACATAGCACTTGGCTTACCTCTCTACCAATCTCATTTTCCTTTTAACATTCTCTGTTTCTTTAGATGGCTCCATAAACACCATCATTGTCCAGTTACTCGACTTAGAAATATGGGAATCATTCTTCTTTATCTAATGGTGTCCACATTAGATAAAAAATAAAATTCTACCAATTTGGTTTGTTATCATTTATTAATTATTCTTAAATCTGTACTTTCTATCCATCTTTACCTTCCCTGCCTTGGTCAAACCTTTTATCTTCTAGATCATGCATTAGCTCTCTAACCCTTCTTTCTGGTTTCTGCGGTGTCTTTCTTCAGTCCAGCCTTAGATTTGCTCATGCCATTCTCTTAAATTCTTCAGTGACTTCTCCTCCCCTTCAGGAAGAAGTCTTTGCTCCATATTGTGGTACCCAAGAGCGTCCTCGACATAGCCTTGACCTGACCCATCTTCTTCTCTAGGCACAGCTCTTATCCCTTGGCACTTCTGACCACATATGTTATATGTTGCTATCATAGAATTGCTTCCAGTACTCTCTGCATGTGTGTATACCTGTAGAAAGGAACGTGCATCCACTACCACCACTGCTATGTTTTCTAGGTACTGTGCCCTTGGCCTGGAGTCATCTTTTTCTTCTTCTCCTTTCTTTTTGACAACATCTCACAGATCCTTTGCTCATTGAACTAGTACAGATGTAATCTACTCCAAGAAGCAAAAGGTTTTCTTGGCATTTTGTTAGCATTTCTCCACTCTATTCCCATATATATACACATATATTTTTTATCATATTGTGTATTAATTTTCTGTTTTATATAAGTCTTCACTAAATTGTGAGCTTCTTGAGGTCAGCAGCCATATTATTCAGTTTTGAATTTTCAATTTCTAATATAGTCTGGCACACATTAGGTGCCCAAGCCCTTAACTGAATGAATGAATGTAATAAATGAATATGTTCATCCTAATATTTACTAACTCATAGTGATTATATATCTGTTCATGCATTATCTCATTTAATTGAAATGATTTGTGCATGTGTATGTAATAACATCAATATAAAACACATCTATATTAAGTTATTGTTTATGTAATCCATTGGAATTCATGGCTCCATATCTGCAAGAATTTCAAACAAGGAAGGAGAGCCCAAAATCTTCAAAAACAACTGAAAGAGAATCTTCAGTCTATTGAGGAATATTCAAAAACATGCAAGTTGAGGCGCCTGGGTGGCTCAGTGGGTTAAGCCTCTGCCTTCGGCTTAGGTCATGATCTCAGGGTCCTGAGATCCAGCCCCACATCAGGTTCTCTGCTCAGCAGGGAGTCTGTTTCCCCCTCTCTCTCTGCCTGCTTCTCTGCCTGCTTGTCATCTCTGTCAAATAAATAAATAAAATCTTTAAAAAAAAATGCAAGTCACAAACTCTAATAACATTCCATATATTATCCTTAATTTCATTTTATCCTTAATTTTCTCACATCTGAAATTGTTCTAATCTACCAAATTCTCCTAAAATATTCTCTGGAGTGCTTGCTTTATCCCCACTCCTCATTTCTTTTTATTTAGATTGTTAACTTGGGCAAAGAGAATCCTTCCTGTTTAATAAGGAGAGGGGGAGGGAACAACCGAGCAACAGAACACCAGCTTCTCTTTAGAAGGAAGTATTATGGGCAATTGCATCTAATGATCGCTGTCTAAGCACATATATATGTATGTTTGAATAGGACATTACTTTCTTTAAATTATTGGTTGATTCCTCTTTTATATTATTATGTGGAAGCATCTTTCTGTGAATGTACCCTTCCACTGCAGGTGATTACGTCCCTTCCTTAAAACAAAATAAAACAAAACAGAACTCTGAACATGTAGCTCTTGCAGGCGACCTATAAAGCAAGTATGTCTTCCAGCCCTACTGGTTTTTTGAAAGGAAAAATCTTGGGCTCAGTACTTTTTCTCTGTAGTTTGTTCGTGCCTAGATTCTATGTACTTCATGCTTATGCATTACCAACAGCTGTAAGAGGAAGACCCAAGGAAAGCCTCTCTCAAAATAGTTTTGTTGCAAAGAGAAAATGGCATTTATGCACTTTGGCAGAAACTGTACTCTGAGCCATGTTCAATTTTGAAACTTGAATGGAAAAATCCACCCCATGGAGAAGTAAACCACATAGGATCCCGAGCTGAGTCTATCGTTAGAATAAGAAAGAGGCACCAACAAGGCATAGAGCTCTGGGGACATCTGAGAGCTTATGCATGCTGTGTCTGGCAGGGGACCTCCACACGACAATACACATGTTCAAGAAGGCAAAGCGGGAAACATGCCCTTGGCAAAGTGTCTTTACATAACCAGAATTTGGCTTTGCATTAGCCTACTTAGATGACAGTTTCACAAATTAAAACAAAACAAACAACAACAACAACAACAACAAAACCCACTTTTTTTTTTTTTACTGATTTACTCATTACATCATAATATTCCTTTAATTTGGGAATCCTTTATAGTTTGGATTAGAAGCTTCTGCCTTAGTCAGGTCCTAAAGGCAGTGTCTCATCTCCCAGTCCCCTCACCTTTATGTAGTCAGTGTTTCTGTGTTCTCACTAGTGTCATGGGGTAGTGTGGGGTCTCATTTTGCTTAGTTCTTTCAGTAAAGACTACTCAGCCAGCCACATGTGAATCACAGTAGCTGGTTTAAAGCCTCTTGCCTCAGTAGCAATTCCAGGTGTTAAGGGAGGCTGGCCACATCAGTAGTTATTTTTCAAAAAATTCAGTGTTGTGCTAAGTTGCCCACCCCAACTGGGAAAAGTTTTCTGTTTTCATACCCAATTGCCTCTGTAATATGTGAGGCTGCCCAGCATATCAGGGCTAGAATGAATATGTTTGTCCTGATTCAGGTTGCCAGAGGTTCTAAATGTAGTAAAGAAGGGCTACTTTAGTAGTAAGGTGCTGCTGATGGCCAACAACCTCCAACAGAAGGCAGGAGCTATCTCTGAAAGTCTTGTCCCAAGTCTTCCTATGATAGTCGTTTTTGAGGGATGCATGTCCTCATAGGCCTGAGGCCTCATACTCACTCTACTGAGTAATTCTTTTAGTTTCTTACAACAATTTTTGCTTTTGGAGTGTAAGATAGGATGAACTGTAGGGTGCCCTGTCTTGTGGCACCAGAAGTTGGCAGGTCTTCTTTCATTCAATCCATTGCTAGCCAGTGGAGCTCCTCAGCCCCTTCTCTATCTACTTTATGGTGATATATTTTCCAAGAGATTATTTTTTTCTTTCCATGTCACTTGGTCTTAAGTAGACCTACCTTAGGTCATCATGGTAGATCTCCTCTATCAGGAGATCTATTCCTCTTCAACAGGAAGAAGTCAGGGAATCTATCTGAGACCCTCCTTCCTGGAAGGCACCTGGATTGGTGAAAAATCTTTACTTTTCCATCTCTGAACTCTTTATAGCAGAGGAATCTTGACTCCCTAAGTCAGATTGAAGGCCTTGTGATTTCATGTCTCCCAAATGGCCTTCAGGGGTTTATGGTGATCCACTTCAGTAGACAACTGGCAGAGTCTTCAGTCTGAGGGGGGAAAATATCATTTAAATATAAAATGAAGGTATTTTATGATGTTTCACAAAAAAAAAGGTAGATTATATCTAAATCTGTCTTTATACTAAGAACTTGTACTGTGGTCTGTTGAGAGGAGTCAAAGACTCTTCTTCAGGAGGGTCCAAAAGTAGAACAAAACCTTATTAGTGGGGACTAGTTTGGAAGGGTTCTGTTATTGAGGAAGTGAGTGGGGGGAATAGCTTCTGAGTCTTTGTAAGCAAATATCTTGTTTGCTTTTTAAAGACTAGCTCTTAGTTGCTTAGACTTGGGTTCTGAATCAGGTTTGGGAACTGAGCTCTCAGTTTGAATTCTGCTGCAGTAAATATAAGCATGTATTTGGTCAATAATATATATCAGAATATAAATGAACCCTTCATAAGTCTGCAGGGAAACTAACTTCTGCACTACTGCAATTACCACTAATTTATGGGTAATTGAATAGCAAGGGAGTCCCACATGCTGGAAGAGTTTGGTTATATTTGAGTTATTACACAAAGTTTATTGTTTGTTTTTATTCTGCAGCCTCCACCTCAGATTTATGACAAACAATTGGATGAAAGAGAACACACCATTGAAGAATGGAAAGGTGACTCTACCACTTAAATACACATTTTGCTTTATTGAAACTCAGAAATCATCTTTGAGGCATCTCCCTTTAAAGCAATTTAGTAACAGATTATTTCATAATCACTATCTTTATACTAATTTGAAAGCTCTCAAAACTTTATCTGTCTTTTCATACTAATAACAATATTGCATTTACTCAAGAATGAAAGGAATTAATTACTAACACATTTTAAAATAGTACCAATTGTCAAAGTATTTGTCATGGTGGAGGGCAAGCTTCAATTCAAAATTTCAGAATGACACATTCCATATTCGTACATAAAATTATTACATAAAATAAACAAAATTATGTCTAAAATAGCTTTAAACATTAGAAAATATAAGATAGTTAATATATAAGATAAGAGAGTTAATATATGAATTCATTTACTTCATTTATAGGACTTGAAAATTTAAATAGAAAAAAATATATATCTAAATGGTTTATTTATCCTTCAAAGTAAGAAAATAATGAATAAACACATTAGTTCATTTTTTCCACCAGAATTCTTCCAAGCACATAATACATGGTCAAGATTACACTCAGGATGAAATAAACCAGAAACTATGAAGAATTGTTAAACTAATATAAATAACTACAGAGTAGAATAAATATGAAAAACTAAATGCAGATCATAACAAACCATTAGGTTAAAATGAGGAGGAACATAAATGGAATATCTGAGGAAAAGAAATATTTTAGCTGCTTTGAAGGAATTAATCACTATAAGTTGGGGAGGAAAAAAAGGAAAATACCAGTATAGGGACATATGGGGAAAACAAAGGGTAGAAATGGTCAAAAAGTTTTATAATGATAGCAAAGAGATTTCTCTAGTCAAGGGGTCCTGTTGGAGAATATGGAAAGATGAACATATTCTGTTTGTGTGTGTTCATACAAATAGTGTACCAAAGTAAATAAAATTGCTAAATGATAGACAGAAAAGACTTGATTTGATCTAATAAGGACCAGAAGTTACTCTTAAGGGTTTGTGTGTAAGTAGCTACTAGGATATAAATATCACTTGAGGATGAACACGGACTAAATTGGAAACTGGAAAAACAAATACTTGTAAAGACAATGATTATATAAATTGCAACCTGTTGCCAAGCAAGAGTAAGTAGCACTGAGTTTTAGTTAAAAGGGGAAAATTAAAAGAAAGAAGATATACACATTTAACTCTAGCAAAGAAAAAACTAGACATGGTTGCCAGTTTGGGAATAAATGCAATAATTGTTATGACGTTGGGTTTAACCAAGTTTTGTTTTACAAAGCCAAGATTTGAGTCAAGCAAAAAATGAAAAATGAAGAAAGAGTTGGAAAATTATTGGGAAGCAGTAGTTTAAAGTCAGGAGGGTGTATGTCTTAGGGAGTGAATATAGAAGAAATACGGAAGCTCAAAACTGAGCCATTAAATAAAGTTCTTAAGAGATAAAGTTAGATGGCATTAGAAATTCCCCCAAAGAATTCAGAACCAAATAAAATGTGTATTCTTCACACATTTGTTTGGTCAAATGCTTTATTGAGCACTTAGTTTTGCTGGGTTCTGTGATATTATAAGAAAATGTAGAAATAGAAGAGTAAAAGAATCCCAGTTGATTTGCAATTTACTCAATCACATCAAAATGTTATTATTTGTCATCAACTAGTAAGTTTACACTGCGTATTAAAAAGAAATTTGTTTTTTATGACACTGATATTTGTTTCTTACAGAACTTATCTACAAAGAAGTAATGAATTCAGAAGAAAAGACTAAAAACGGTGTTGTAAAAGGACAACCTTCTCCTTCAGGTACTCACTCTCAGTGAATAACTAATAAACCAGTACTTGTGTTTTTTATTTTTTTTATTTTTTTGTTTGTTTTTGTTTTTGTTTTGGCCTTGAGGAGGAATCACAGCCAATAACATTGCTAATAGAGCATGTGAACTAATATCTCATGATTATTTCTGTCTCGTGACTTTCCTTTTTTTTTTTTTTTTTAAGATTTTATTTATTTGTCAGGGAGAGCGAGAGCACAAGCAGGGGAGCAGCAGGCAGAGGGAGAAGCAGGCTCCCTGCTGAGCAAGGAGCCCACTGTAGTCTGGATACCAGGACCCTGGGATCATGACCTGAGCTGAAGGCAGATGCTTAACCCACTGACAGCCCATGAGTCCTCTCTAGTGATTTTCATTCCATTCCTTTTGATATTTAGTGTGGCATTCATTCTAATTCTGATTATGATGACTAGCACAAGAGTTCTTTCAGAATTATTTTAAGATAAGGTGTATCTTGAAGAAATGTTAACGTGGGCTCGTTAAAGGATAACTGCTTCTCATCAAAACACAGCCATCATACGCTCTACCACATCAGTGCAGAGGTCAGGAATCCCTCCAGCCAAAACCTCTTTCCTCAGTCACTCCATTGTGCAACTCTTCCCAAGGCTGATATGACAGTAGTTAAAGCATCTGCTAATATGGGTTCTGATTAAAGTCAGCATGGAAAATATCTCAGTTCGCCATCTACAGAATCAAACACACATTTGTATATAAACTGTACATATTTTGCTGATCCTAATAATGTGCTTTAGGATTACTTGAGATAATTTACTTATACCCAATGCTAATATATTTTTCCAAAGACCTATGTTCTAAATGTAAAAAAATATATATAAAGAGTTTTAGAAAGTGTGATAGTTTATCTCTAGCTTTAAACTACCTTCAACTCATGCTGGCAAGAATATAGACTGCAAATGATCAGTTGTTTAGAGGAAAATGGATTTGGTGCCCTACCTTTGATAAAAAAATTTTCCTCATGCACTTTAAATTGTTTCAGGAAAAAAATGTAGGATGAATTAATCAATTCTTCATACTGATACTACTCTTTGAATAACTGGTTTGCACCCAAATCACTATAATGCCCAAACAGATGCAATTCAGTTATGACATGTTTTTCTCATTTGAATCAAGCCCAATTCTATTACAAGTCTTTCCGTCCCTCAAAGAAGGCGAAGGCAATCACTGGGGTTGTCTGCCCACCCTGCTCATTCATTCTGCATCCAGATTTATACAGGTCTGTAAAAGTCATGCCAAACTTATCTGCATGTTCTGTCTGCTGCTGATTAAGGAACCCAAAGACCAACTCTAACAGCCTCAAGACACCACCTGCTAAGGCAGAAAGGCTCCTTGTTTTAAGAACTTCCATAACGACCAGAACATGTTTTTCTCTAATCATTAAGCAGTCAAAATACAAAAAAAAAAAAAAAAAAAAAATCAAAATACAAGATCCAGTGAAGGTGAACTAGGAGCTCAGGTTAGGACTAGACCAATTTTTTTGCAAGGTCTCTTCTATTTATCTTTAATTCAAGGTATCATTTATTCATCTTCTTTCCTTTTTTCAGAGAGCTTGGGATCATACCACCCACTTCAGGACATCCCAACTTCTGCTTGTTTCCTCTTCCTTTTTCCCTCAGCCCCAACCAGGTCTCCACAACAGTTCATCTGTGATGACATAAAATCCACAATTTTCTTTTCAATACTTTCACAACACTTCCACAAAAATCCTATTCTCATGACTCGTTTTATGCCAACCGTACAGTTTGGGGAAGGCAAAAAGAGACTGAGGATGGTACAAGTGAGATTAATTATTCATTAAAGGGATGGGATGTGTGGTCTGCCATACAAAGAAACTTCTAAATATTTGGTAAGGGAATGCAGTTTGTATATAATCAAGGCATAATTATATTTTCATTCCATTCCATTCCTTTTGACTTATGACTTGTGCCTTGTATAATTGTTATATTTGTATAATTCTTATACAATTATACAAAAATTGTATAATTCTTATACAAGAAGAAAGTGAGTACATGTAGAAATTTCCTTTAACTCATTAATGAGGGAAGTGGCCAGTTGGCAAAGGTAGTTTAATGAAGATATGAGTAATTAGGATTTATGTGGTCTGTGAGAAAAAGAGGATTACTGAAATAAGATCACCAAATTAAAACAAAAATTACAAATGTCCTACAGAACAATGAAACCTATCTTTGTGGTTATTTTTTCTACCAGGCAGAAAAAAAATGATAGTTTATTAGTTTTTTATAGGTTTACATTGCTGTAAAACATCTAGCTTCTAATCAATTATGTATATTAAGTCAAACAAAGTTATGTTCCACAAAACAGTCAAATGATCCTTAGGTGGGCATTTTACAAAAGGCTCAAGTGTGATATTAAAAGGCTGCATAGTCATTTTTCCCCCTAATCCCACATATTGGATATTCTGAATAGTATTTAAAGTTAATCACATATACAACTGTGTCCTCTGAATAGGGGGCCAAAGTCTTGACCAAGTAAACCCTTAAGTTTATAAGAAATACATTTAAGGTGAATAAAACCAAAGACTAGTTTATATAACAGTTTGTTATTTCTGGAGGGGCTGGAAAATAAAGCCATTCTACTAAATTACTTAATGATAAATATAACCTAGTCTTGGATAATTAAAACATTGGCCAGGGTGTATGAAATTGTTGCCAATTCAGATTCAATTTATTTAAAATCAAACACATCATTCCATTTATTCACCACCACCCCCCACCCAGGAGTAAATTTTTCTTTCATTTTTCCCATTTATTAATGGCAGCTCTATTTTCTCAGCCTCCCAGTCTGAAACCCTGACTGACCTTTTACTCCATACTTACATTATCTCTGACAGTCACTTTTTACATCCTAAAAATGCTGCTTGCTGGATGTCTTAATCTAATCACCACCAACCTTTCCCATTAACACCACTATGATTAAAGTTTTCCTGAAGTAATCTGTGTGACTTTAGTCTCTACCTAAGTTGATCTTTCAAGACTACAAGTTTGGAAATGCCGCTGATAAGTGCACTCCAATGGCTTTGCCTTGTATACGGTTTAAGCCTACTAACCCTTTCCTGACACTGATGGCCCTCTTAATATATGCCCAGTTTTTCCACCTTTCACATTACACCTATTGTAGGTTCCTATATTACCACTATTTTACTTTATTGGACCCCTGCCTTTTAGAAAGCTGCACATTCTAAATTGTTCTCTTATCAAGTACTACCATTTCCCAAAATATTTTTCATATCTTTCCTAAAGGACTTCTCATATTTCTCAAAGAATGAGATAGTTCCTTCTTACCGGTCCTACTAGTCCCTATATTTTAAATAGTGTTTTATAACCTCTTATTGATTATAAATTCAGTTGAGAAGAAAGACTATATGTATCCATTCTTGTGTGCCATGCAGTGCCTAAGTATTGTGCCTTGCATACAATAGTAGCTTGATAAATACTTATTAATTTGAAAATTGCTGCTCAGGTCCTCCCTGACCATGTTTCTTGGTGCTATTCCAAAGATGGGATTCAAAACAGGATCATAGCTTTAATACAGTATGCAATTCAATATGCTCTTATGCCAAGAAGTATTTATTTGCCCTATTGATTGCCATAAAGAGAAATGAGTCAAGTATCAAGTATGTGCAATGCTGTTATTGGTTTGGCACCTGCTCATGCTTCAGATAAAGATTTGCTTTCAGATGGTTATTCGGTTATTTATTTATTCTGGAAAATGCATATTCCTAATTTTTTGTGGTCTTGTTTATTGTGTTAATGATTAACATGCCACTGAAAATATGCCTCTTAGGTCTTACGTACAAGGAAGAAGGCTGAGCCATTTTTTTTTAACCATTATAACTACCTGTAACTGTCCTGAAATATCTACCTTGTACATGTGCCCTAAACTATAGTTGACTGGCTTAACCAATTTGTAGTTAAAATGATGTGGGTTCAATCTTTCACTACCTGACTTGAAAGGAGAATATTCATGGCTTAATTTTGAGAAATCATACATATACTATGTATCACATGATATAATGATGTATGATGTAATTGTATGCATCGTGTAGTAGCATAGGACACCTTTATGCGGGGGCTGACTACTAGCTCCTGAGAGCCAGTTGTCTATATCTCTCCCAACTCTAAGTTTTTTAACCTTGTTTTAGTAGCGTGGTATCCACCATGCAGGATTTAAGATATGGAAATTGGCTGACTCTACAAATCAGGACAATTTTTTCTCCCTGGAAAGCCAAGTATTGATTTTTTATGGACACACCACTGTGTATGTGTGTTTGTGTGTGTGCACGCACACATGTGCACATGTGCATGCACACATAATATGTATGTATACAGTAGACGGTGCTGGAAAAAAAGCAATTACTAAGAAAACTTGAAAAGTCAGCTTTTTTGCATTCTTCATTGTATTCAACTTTCTTCATTACTGTTTGCATATCATATTTTGTAAAGAGCTAGGATAAAGTGATATTACAACATAGACTTCCTTATTATTAAGTCATGGCAACATTGGGAACCTGACAGCAAGAGAATAAGTTAAAGCAGCTTCTAGTGATAAATTGTTTTAATACCCAAATTCATGTTTTAGTGATACCTTTAAAATATAAATAGGAAGTTAAGTGTGCATTTGCAGAACAATATATAGGTTTGAAATTTATTGATGGAATTGTTGTATATCAATAGGAAATAAATCTAAACTTCAGATATGTTTCTGAATAAATAATTGTACTCCCTTCTGCTATCTGATTTCACTTGCATAGTGATTTATTTCCAAGAATAACATGGCTGCTTGCTTTCTGAATTGATTTGTAAAGACTGCTAAGGGAAAAGTAGTCCAAGTATAGAAATTAATTTTCTTCTAAAGCATTTGTTATAAAAAATTAGATCTAGAACAAATATAGGAGGTCATCTAATCCCAAATTTCTTAGCCTGTTCCTCACCCCTGTTC